GTAAGGTGAGCGTCCTGGGCAGTTGCCACAGCCGTGGATGATAGATCTGCAATCCCATGCTGTGTAAGTGGATGGCTTTGATGTAAAGTGTAGCGTTGGAACAGGCTGGTACAGATAATTGTTGCTTGGATATGAAAGGGACCTTTAATACAATCACACCCATACCCTCTCCCTATTTTAAAATGAGTAATCTGAAGTTTAATAATTATTTTTTAAACATCTAGTTGGTGGCTGAGCCACGATACAAATCCAGGTTTTATGTTGCCTATCCAGCGCTCCTTCTATTGCCATAGGGAAATAGTATTTAGGTCTGGAGTAGTCATGAATCACTTTTCAGAAGTTTGGAATGAATTGTAGTAGCTTGCCAAAACTTGAATTATTTGAACTGAATTACTGTCATAGTTTGACGGCACTTAAATTTCTGTAAATCTCTGTACTTTTATATATATTTTTGCATTTTTAAGTACCTTGGTGTCAAGGATTGTCATAACTTTTTAAATCCCTAGAGTACCTAAGAAGTGTGTGGCATATAGTATAGAATGAGAAAAAGAAAGGTTGAAGTGTAAACAGACCAAAAAATAAGTGTGTGTTATAGTAGAAAGAATACCCTGGGGAATTTAAAGACCTGACTTCTATTCTAGCCCTGCACAGATTATCTGGATAACCTTGTACAAATCACTGAACCTCTGTGAGATCCAATTGTCCTCTTTAAAAAGGGTAGCGTAAGTGACCTTTAAACTCTTTCATTCTGTGATTTAGTTCTATGTCTATATTTGCCAGGACAACATTATGGCCATTAGTACTTACTGGATTTAATTGGTTAGGTATACAAAAATAGAGGTCATATGGGCTTACATTTTCCAGGGACTCTCTGCATAGAGATCCTTGAATATGTTTGGAATATTGATTAAGATACTTTGGTAAAATGAAAATACAAAATAAATTAATATTAACAATACATCTAGCAATAATCATTTAACATTCAAAACATTGAATAAGATGTGTTCTCTGACTTCAAGTTGTTTAGGATTTAGTTAGAATTTACTTTAAATAGTTAAAAATGCAAGTAAGAAACAAAACAAGCTCTCTGGAGCCTAGCTATGTTTAGCTGGAATGAATCAGCCTCTAAAAGTGTGGTATGACTGGCTATTCAACCTTTCATTGGGACTGTTTAAATTACTTCGCATTTCATAATGTAAATATTTTGATACTGTGCACTCCTTGATTAATATGAAAGTGGCTTATCATCTTTGAAGAAAATTGTAACCCTTACAAATCAACTCAGAGTATAATGTTTCTAATTGAATATCGTCTGGGATAATATAACTATATCCTCAAAGCCCCTTTTCTGAGTCCCAAACATGTTAGAGAAGTATCATATTCATTTCACTTTATGTTGTATTAACTAATGGCAAAAATATTTGGTTGGAACTACATAGCATTGTGATTGACTGGTGAACATTTTAATAGAGAAGATCTAAATAAAGATAACATTTTTCAAAGAAGGACATTGCTGGTGCTTGACTACCTGTTCTGTAAGACATGTATTCAGTCTTGGCAGTTAATTTAGACTAGAACATTTAAAGTTACCAGCCTGTGGCCATCTTTATAAACCATTTTGTGAAAATTTCTCATCGGTGTTTTCCTAAACAAGGTTTTTTTCAAACTTTTGGCTGCTATTCATAGTGTAAAATAAATGTTACATTGTGACCTGGTACCCACATACATATATAAGTAACTGAAACAAACCTTTCATGAAATAATACTTACCTTACTTTGTGTGAGGCACAATGAGTTTTTTTAATGTGTTCTATTTTATTTTATTCTTTTGAAATAGTTGGTCAGAAAGTCACTAAATTGATGCCTAACTCTTTAAAAGGTCGTGACCTATAGTTTGAAAACATTCAGCTAAACTCTTTTATGAGGGCAGTTACTATTTCCTATTTAATTTTTATTCCACAGTGCCTAGATCTGTGCTCGGCACTTAGATGGTACTCAATGTTTCTTGAATGCTTTGTTCTTAATCTAACTTCAAAAATATTATAGTATCAATGACACTTATCTATAGCAGCTGCATGAAGCTGTTGGAAGAGATTAGGAGAAAATTATTAATAAGAAGAAGATGAAGGCAAAACACATATGAGAAGAGGCAAAAGCCAGCATACAGTTAAAAATAATAAACACAAAAATAATAAACACAATAACAATGTGTTGGTTCTCTAAGAAGTTGTAGAATCAAGTACTGACTTGTATTTTTTTTTTTCAGATTTTAAACTTCAGGTTGAATTTTCTAATAATTTTATCTTAAAACTATACTTTCTCCTAACTTCTATTGCGTTTGTGTGTATGTGTGAAGCTTAATTTTGATTAGGTGTTATTTTTCTAAAAAAGTGAGATCAACATCCTGTAAACTTTATTACCATTCTTTAAACAATATTCTGAGCCAAAAACACTTGTGGATAAATCACATATTTTTTCTTTTTCGTCTTCTAATCATACAAAGTTCTTTTTCCCCATAGTAATGTCTGCTTAATTTTAAGTATGGTCCTTAATAACTTAAACTTGTCCATTTATACTCATTAACAACTTTTGGGGGGAGATTTTGTCAAATATTTTGGTTCCCTATAAGTTCAACTCAAATAAAATTCTATTATAACAAATATATTAGTAATTTCTAAAAGATTGCCTGGTATTATCTAGCCATAGCAATAATTTATATACTAGAGTTTCTGTTTAGCAAATAATTAGGTTAGTTCAAAGAAATTTTCTGGGATATGATTCATTCAAATAAATAGAAAATACATAATTTATTACCATCAGATTTTAGCAGGGTTAAATTACATCAGTAGATCAGGGAGTTTTCACAATGGCTATTTTACACTCAGTGGTATTTTGTAATTATTCTAAAAAATTAATGTTTTCTTCTCAAACAGATACTAAGTTCATCAATGGAATTTTATCCTCTTTCTTCCTTTTCCAATTTTTCTACTTCTTTTTGTATCACACAAATACTTCTGTGCTTTATACAATATAGAAACTCATTGAATACTTGTTGATTAACTTTAAGCTAAATTATTCCCTAAAACATTTAGGATCACTAGGGCTCTCTGATACTAATGTTATCTAGTGGGTAGTGAATTGGGGTTGGAAGTTAGGGAACTAAGACTGTAATTGTGTTTTTTTATTAGCTCAATGATTTATTCTGTGTGTCCTTTTATGTTTTTAATCTATAATTTACATAGGGCTAATAATTGCTTTTACCTTTTGTCTATTTCACAGCATAATGTGAATATCATATGAGATAGTTGTAAGAATGTTTTTTTGAAAATTTAAAAGCATTCTACATGTATAAATGTTTAGTGAGGCCCCTGATGAATGGTTGTGATTAAATGAGAGGTTGTAGGTAAAATGACCAGCACAGTGCTTAACATAGAATAAGCACTTAGTAACAGTGGTTGCTATTAATATTTAACTTGCATATTATATAGTTGCATACTTATAAGTTTCAATTATTTTATATTTCACTTTTTGAAATTTAATAGGATCTAATAGTAATTTTTTGTAAATTTGTTTTTCAAGCTTTTAATTTTGTGTGGTTTTCTTAATTGGAATCCTCCTCCCTTCCCCAAATCTGGTCTTTTTAAAAAATATATATTTGCCCTTTTATAAGTTTTTACATATAAAATAGTTAAAATTTATAATTGAATAGTTGAAAATAAAAATTATAATTTGTTAGACAAGTATTATATGTGTCTGAGTATTTGGAATTCCATATTTTGAATTGTGACCATTTGAATTATTCAATATATAATCATGTAATAAGGCACTTGATTATTTGAGTAATAGCAGTTGCTTTGAATTATTAATTATATTTCATCCTATATCAGATAAGTAAAATTTGTATTGCATTATTTTTTACAAACAGCAGATATTTTATCTACAAGGAGCAATGTTAGCAGTTGAAGACAAAAAAGTTCAAAAGCAATGTAAACAATTTAGATCTCATACAGGTAGTCATTTTTTACCTACTTATAATTTGCAATAGTTCCCTTCATATTTTTTTCAAATTATGTTTTATTGTTTTCCCTGTCAAAAAAAAAGTAATCCCATTATAGAGACTGGATGGAGCCTTCTTTCTGTAAACATTAAAGATACTTCATTTATTTTACAATTCAAAATTATTTAAATTGAAGGTATTCAAGTGGTTTATCACCTCTTCCCAAAGAGGAAAAGTGTGTTCCTCTGTTCCTCTGTGTGTGTGTGTGTGTGTGTGTGTGTGTGTGTGTGTGTGTGTGATTTAATCAAGTTTTTTTTTTTTTTTCCAGAACCTTTCCCAAAATGTTAGAAAAAGGATAGAAAAACATATGCAACTTTTGTTTCACTTGGTGAAGGAATCAGGAACTGTTTGTACATAATAATCCAACATCAGTTTAAGATTTTTGGCTGTCATTTTCTCAAGAGCAAGAAAAGATTTTGTTTCCAATTCCTGCATGTTATTTTTTTTATTGGTTGGATTTCCGATTCAGCACCACTTTACTTTCATGCTTTTTGTTACTAATCTGTTAATTTTGAAAGAATAAGTAATTAAAACAGGTTTGAAAAGTTTTGTGTGTGTTTATGTGATATTTTGTTGGAGCATCTACGAAAGCAATAAAAATACTTGTCCGAATCCTCAAGATGCATATGGTGTCATGAATGTTTTAAAGACAGGAAACCATACAGTCCTATTTTAAGAAATTCTATTTATTTTTAAGTCAAATAAAAATTTTCCCTGCTCTTTAAAGTACCTGACTGGCAAGAGAATTTTTATGGCATCCATTTGCAGGAAAAACAAAAACAAAAACACAATTCTTTTAGTAGATTGAGGTTTGAATATTACAGCTCTTGGAGACTCTAGAGCTTAATTTGGAATTAGTCTATGTTTTCACCCACTTAGTTGCTGTCTTCTTAAACATGCTAATTTTTCATCTGTTTTTCTTTTTCTTTCTTTTTTTTTTCAGTATAATTACATCATCTCCTTAACCAGGAGAATTGCTGTCTGCTCCTCAGCTCTGTATCATTAATGAAGATCTTTGTTGGGTTTCCTTAACACAGGTTAGTACTTGACTTTTGGTTTGCTCAGACTCACAATCAGGATTTTTCTGACTGTACTATCAGTGCTTTATTTCTTTATTTTTCATGTGATAATTCATTTTCTAAAATTTTTGTATTGTGTTTTCCCATTTTTGTTCTCTGTCTTTCATAGAGGTTGTGATAAAAACCAAGCAACCAACCAATTAAATAAACAAAACAAAAACCCCTTCCTGCTTCCTGAAAATCTTGACTCTCTCTATATTTAGTTTCCCTTTCATTTCATTTCTTAATTATTACTACTTTTGAAAACTATTTGTTATCTCTTTTAATCCCACTAGATCATACTCTAACACTTCTCAAATCTTCCCCTTCCTTATCAGTGTTGTTATGGTTTCCAGAATCTAATGAAGTGATCCGTCTAAAACACAGATACAAACAGATCACTCCTCCTAAGAGACCGTTTAATAATTCTCCATCACCTACACAGGAAAATTAATCTTAGCATTGAATACAATGATCTAGCCCCTGCCTACCTTCCCCATACTTATTTTGAGAATATGAGAGACCTCATGTAATCCCCAGAATTTACTATGCTGTTTTCTCACCTCTGTGCCTTGACTCAGGTTTTTCCTTGCCTGAAACTTTTTCTTACCCTTTCTTTGCCTAGTTAGGAAGGAAGGCTTTTATCTTTCAAGACTCTGCTTGTATAGGATTACTTCTGGGAAATCTTACTGGCTGGTGGTCATGTGATCCTGTCTCCTTGCAGTCTTTGTTTAACTCTGTCCTAGCTCTTATTTATTTACCTATTGCTATCATTCCCTAGAGAATGAGCTCCTTGAGGGCTCCTTGTAGTTGGTTTTTTGACCAAAGTATTATAAAAAGTATCTCTTGAACTGAACTTTTGTCAGTCCTGTGTAAAAAAAGTTGAAAGTGCTGTGAAAAGTTCTGATAAAAACCATGCCAAACAAAAGCACATTACAGGTTACTGATAGCTTTTATTGACAGAAAGCAACTGATCCAAAAGCCTAAACTTCTTTTTCCTATTCTGAATCCATTCATAATGAGGGAGTGAGCCACAGTATTACACCCTGAAAATCCTGGATCAAGGCAGTTTTCTCTGTTTGCTTTGTGGAACTGTCTGACTTGGACAGTTTTTGGCATGAGTAATAAACTCTCAGATTATTTTAGAAATGATGAGCTCTGTGTAGCAGGTGTATTTCCCAGTGTCTGCTGACAGCAGAAAGAAAAATATAGCTAACTGGTTCCAGCTCCAGAACGACCTCAGTCTGTAGTCATTCTCCAAAAGCCTTTGGCAGGAGATATATTGGAATGCTGACTGTCCATGTTCTTGGAAAGATGGCAATAGGAAAAAAGTTGCTTTCATCAGGCCAGTTTTCTTCATTTCTACAGTTCAAGAAGTTTAACCTCCCAAAGAATTTTTAAAAGACAACAGAATTTAAAACATTTCCAAGAAAGCACATTAATGTTAATGTTAATGTTAGAAACACATTAATGTTTCTACCCATTCTCATAGAACTTGACTTATTCCCCAAATATTTTGGGGAGAAGAATTTCCCTAGAATTCATGGGAAGTAAGCATCAAACTAACAAGGCTTGTATACATTTTGAAGGATATACATACACTTGTTATTTATTTATAACAGAAAGGATGAAAGTAAAAAATGTTCTACAGTTCATGTGAGTTAATTGAAACAGTTCTCCATTGCATTTTTGCTAAATCAATTAATACTATCTTTTAGCCAATTAATTAGGAACATATGAAATCATCTTATCATGTTATGAAATATAGGGAAATAACCACCTTTTTAGATATAATTAAATTTTATTTATGGTTGGCTAATAATTATACTGATTACTATTTGATACTATATGTAATTTTTCTATACCAGTGTTGTCTCTTAAAACTTTTTGGGTGATGTAAATGTTCTGTCAGTGCTGTCCAGTAGGGTAGCTAATAGCTACATGTAGCTACTAAGCATTTGAAATGGGGCTAATGTGACTGAGGAACTGAATTTATAATTTTATTTCATTTTAATTCTAATTTAAATTTAAGGGACACCTGGGTGGCCCAGTCAGTTAAGTCTCTGACTCTTGATTTCAGCTCAGGTCCTCATAGTTCCTGGGATCGGGCCCCACATCGGGCCCTGTGTGGACATCACAGAACCTGCTTGGGATTCTCTCTCTCCCTCTCCCTCTGCCCCTCCTCAACTCATGCATGTGTACATGCACACACACTCCCTCTCTCTCAGAATAATAAGTAAATGATAAGCTTAAAAACATTTATATTTAAGCAGCCACATGTGGCTAGTTGCTACCATGTTGGACAGTGCAGATCTAGGCTATAAAATGCCAGCAGTAAAGTTTTTTTGTTTTTTTTTTTAAAGCTTAGGTGTAAGGAAAGTATCCATTCTCTCCAATGCTGATTATATATCTTTGTCTTAGTTCCCTAATGCAAATTATTGTATCAAAAATATCTTCATGGCCTGAAAAACTCTTTTTTTTGTTTCATTTAAATTCCAGTTAGTTAACATATGGTGTTTCAGGTGAACAATATAGTGATTCAACACTTCCATACATCACCTAGTACTCATCACCATGCACTCCTTAATCCCTAGCACCTATTTAACCTATCTTTCTCCACACCTCCCCTCTGGTAACCATTAGTTTGTTCTCTATAATTAAGAGTCTGTTTCTTGGTTTGCCTCTCTCTCTCTTTTTTTCCCTTTGCTCATTTGTTTTATTTCTTAAATTCCACATATGAGTGAAATCATATGATATTTGTCTTTCTCTGACTGACTTATTTCACTTTAGCATTATACTCTTTAGCTCCATCCACACTGTTGCAAATGGCAAGATTTCATTCTTTTTGATGGCCAAGTAATATTCATCTATTCATTCATCTATTATCTATCCACCAATCAATGGCCACTTGGGCTCTTTCCATAATTTGACTATTATAGATAATGCTGCTATAAACATCAGGGTAGTTGTGTCCCTTTGAATTAGTATTTTTGTATTCTTTGGGAAATACTTGGTAGTGTGATTGCTGGATGTATTTGATTTTTTTTTAATTTTTTTTAACGTTTTTATTTATTCTTGAGACAGAGAGAGACAGAGCATGAAGGGGGGAGGGGCAGAGAGAGAGGGAGACACAGAATCGGAAGCAGGCTCCAGGCCCTGAGCCATCAGCCCAGAGCCCGACGCGGGGCTCGAACTCACGGACCATGAGATCGTGACCTGAGCTGAAGTCCGCCGCTTAATCGACTGCACCACCCAGGCGCCCCAATATTTGATATTTTTAAGAGAACTGGATATTTTAAAAGGATACTGGCATTGTTCTCAAGGGATCTATAACTTAGGTAGAGAAAAGTCAATGAATAGTACTAACTCTGAATTAATAATTTTAGTATAGATTAACTGGCACCTTTTGTAAAATTCTTTCATTATATTTGCTGAGAATCTCTAAGACCTGGTTAATTGTTTTGGAAAACTGAGACCAGAAATTTTATACACTAATCACTATCTAAGAATTTCACCATTATGATGATGTAATCAAATGATTTTATCAAATTAAAGTCTGCACATTGGTGTTTAAAGGTAGAGGGAATTCCCAAAGGGAGAAAGTTAAAGGACAAGGGCAAAGGAAGGAATGAGGTAAATAAACTGATTTGACTTAGGAACTCTGAAGTGGTCTAGAATATGTTCACAGATTTTTAATTAGTCTTTATTGTGATTCCCAGTTGCTTCAGAGTTCTGAAAAGATAGATATTAGGAAAATGAAAAGATAAGGAAAATTTTCCTGGAAGATATTGTTGCTGAATGGGAGGAAATGAAATTGATGGATAGCTTGAGTAGTCCATCATCACCATAATCATCATCATCATCATCATCATCATCATGATCATCAGAAGTGTGGTCTAACCCCACTTAGTGCTTCTGTTGGATCGGAATTAAAATCTCTTTTAATTGCTACCCATTCTTTATCTTAACTGGTTCTTTATTATCCCATTTTGTAGAAGAATACTGTCTTCAATGAAAGTATGAAATGTTTGCTATACAACACTTTATTTTTTAAAAAAGTTTATTTGCTTATTTTGAGGGGGAGAGAGAGAGAGACAGCAAGAGAGGGATCCGGGGAAGGGTGGGGTGGGGGGTGGGGTAGAATCCCAAGCACAGAGCCTGACGGAAGGGCTCAAACTCACAAACCATGAGCTGATGACCCGAGCCTAAACCAAGAGTCTGACGCTAACTAACTGACTGAGCCACCCAGGCACCCCTGCTGTACGACATTTTAATGTTGCTTGGTTAGTGCCTAAGCAATTTTGCTGTGTGAAAAGTCACTGTCACCCTTATCTGTAGCAGTCCCCTCCAAAGCAGTCAAATAAGGAAACTACAATGAATATTCTACCACACATAGAGGTGAGAGTTCCACCAATCTGAAACTAAGTTAGCAATTCTAAACAATAGAAATGCATTATTTCAGAGTAGATAAAAACGGATTCAAGTCTTTCCCCTTAATTAAAATAAAACTCATTGAAGTGACATAAAGCATAGGGAATGTAGTCAATAATATTGTAGTAACTTTTACATGATAACAGATGGTAACTAGACTCACTGTGGGGATCATTCTGTAATATGTAGAAATATTGAATCACTATGATGTACACCTGACACTAATAGGATATTGCGTGTCAATTATACTTCAATTGAAAAAAAGGATTTGATTCAATTTCTCTTTTAGTCATATTAAATTTTTAGTGATGTGCATGTACCTCTGGGCAGACAGGTTCTACTTAGATTCTCAAGTAAAAAAGCCAAATAAAATGTCTTAAGATGTTCTTGGAACAGTTAGAAGCATGAAGTGCCAAAAAATTTCATGAGAAAAAGACAACCTGTTTTCTCAAGATTTCTAGTCCAGCTAGAGAAATTCAAGAAAGAGGAGATTCTTAACTCCTAACATTATCTTTAGTTTGTGGAAGAGAAAACAAAGACCAGAAGTTAAGTAACAGAAAGCAGAGTGGTCAAATCTGCTTCTTTGCTTGATAGAAAAGATAAAGTGTGTGCATGTGTGCATGCATGGTGGGGCACAGATGTAAAGTGCGGGCCTTCAAGGGCTCAAGGTCAGACAAAACAATGAGTATGGAAACTGGCTTGCTTCCAATTTCCAATTTGTTTCCAATTTTTAAAATGGTTTAATGAATATATTCAAAATCATCATCTTCTTTTTATTCATCAGCATCTTTCCTATATGTCTTTTCTTCAAACCATAGCAAGGATTTTATTAAGCAGCAATACATAGACAAAAGAAATCGGCAAATATTTTGAGTCGACATTTGATTTTTTAAGATCTGGCATTTTTTTAAATCACATATTAATTCACTTTTCTCCTCTCGTAAGCAAACTGTCATTCCTCTCAAGCCACGCACTTATCTGTGGCTTTGGTTGCTTTCATTTCTCTATTTCATCATTAATGTTACATCAGAACTTTATACAAAAGTAGTTTTTCATTTCCCTTTTATCAACTCCTCTGCCTCTTCCCACTTTTTATTCCATTTCCTTAAAAGGAAACAGACATTTATTATGTGCCTACTATTTGCCAAGGTCTTTGCTTTTCCCATTTGCAGATAAGAAAATGGGAGCTTCAAGAAGTTATGTAACTTGCCTAAGGTCACATAGATAATTAATGGATGACTTTGAAATCGTCATCTGCCTGACTCTAACTCTAACTAAGACCCTTTCTCTCCAGTATGGCTTGTTTAGTCCACTTGCAGGCACTCCACAGCTCTATTCATGCTTCCACTTTTATTCCCTTCTCTTCTCTCTTCTTTGGCAACAATTTTTTTCTATACATTTTACTTCTTCTTTGTGCCTTTCCAGCTTTCTGTTACCGCTCAAACTCTTTTCCTTTTCTCCTAAATCATAGTTTTGTTATTCTTCTAGTGAGGAAGCAGACAATCGCATTTTTGGATTCAGTGTCTTAAAATTGTTTATATCTCCTGGCCTTGTAATTCTAAATTATTCTGAAGAAATCACCAGAGATGTCTGCAAAATGTATATACAAGAAGGAAATCCAAGCATTATTTGTAGTTTTGAAAATTAGAATAACTTAAATACTTAACAGTAGGGTTAAACATGGGTTAAAGAAATCCTAGAAGATGTATTAGGTAATTGACTATTACAGAGTTAAGTAAGGTAACAAATACTTAATGACATAGAAAAATGTTCATCAGCTATTATTTAAAAATTCATTTCTTATGAAAACTCATTTATGATAAAGCTATTCTGCATATAAAAGAGATTTAAACTATTTAAAGAAAAATGAATACCTATGTCTACCACCCAATTACTAAAATGAACATTACCAACTTCTATAAATCTCCCTGTATGATACCATATGATGGTAAATGCAAGAAACAAAAAAAAAAAAAAATCTTAGAAGATAGAAAAATGGTAGTAGTATTTTTAGAATAACTTAATTTAGTGAAAAAACATGTAGAGTAGAATATTAACAGTTGTTACCTCAGTTGATGGCATTGAAGATAAATTTAATTTAATTTCTAACTTATGTTTCATTCTTTTTCAATGAATATTGATTAGGTTGTAATAAAAATACATAACAAATGTTTATATATATGTAACTTTATTATTATCTTCAGTGAAAAGGGTAGATTGAAAATTCAAGAAAATCCTTTTTTCCTTGGAGGCTGGAGAGACAAACATCAGAGACTGGAAAAGGGTTGTTTATGATTCACCATCAAACACAAAAGTCTTTCATTATCATTCTTAATCAGTATAGCAATATTAATTCCTTTTGGGCACAAGCTCTGTGCTAGGTGAATTGTGCAAAAGAACCCTAAGTGTGTACGTGTCCTAGGTGTTCAGACTAGGCAGAGGAGATTCTCTCTAGTTGCAGTGGTCAAATAGCTTATCAAGGAGGAAGGTTTTGATTTGGATTTTATAGGATATGGAAGATTTAGATCAGGATTGTCAAATTCTTTGGCCGTAGGCCTCTTTTAAAATACTCTCCAAAAGCATTTAGGACCGCAAAGAGTTTTTGCTTATATGGGTTATATCTCTTTGTACTTACCATATTAAATTCAAATCAAGAAAATCAATAAGTATCTATTAATTTATTTTAAAATAAATTACATGTTAACAAAAATAATATATTCTTATGAAAAATCATTATATTTTCCTAAAATGAAACCAGTTAGGAAACTTTATTGTTTTACATTTTACATTTTAGTATATGACTTAATAGAAGACAGTTGGATTCTCATATCTGCTTCTTTGTGATATTACACATCATATAGCCTCTGGAAAATTCCACTGTACACTTGCAAGAGAATGAGAGTGAAAGGCAAATAGCATCTCAGTGTTATTATGAACATAGTGTTGATGTCATGAACCCCCTGAGAACCTCTGTGAGAAATACTGATTAAAACAGACTGGGAGCAAAATAGAGGGATGGCATAATCTCAATGCTGGGAAAGCATAAGGTATATCAGAGAAAGTGAACAGACCAATCTGGTAGTTGCAAAATATTCACATGGGGGAAAGTGGGAGAGATATTGCTAGACATGTGGGTTTTGGAGAATTGTATTATCTCAAAACATACCAGCTTCCTTATTTACGACTATAGTCACAGATCTCTACTTTTGCCTTCAGAAAGTTCCAGGCAGGAATGATTGAAGAGAAATTTACACTTAGTTCCAGGCAATAATAAGTTATGTGGCTGGCAGTTATTTATTGATTGATTGCTTTATTCATTCAATTTATTTGGTATCTGCTACACTCCAAGCATCAAGTAAGAGATAGTGATGCAAAGATGATAATGACATAATCCTACCCTAAAGCAGCTCTCAGTTAAGTGGGAGATTCAGATATTAAAAGATAAGTGATACATTCTTTAAACTGGAGGATCACAGAGGGAGAGCAGCTAACTCTGACTGAGAGGCATGGTGGACAGGTTGTGGGGTAGGTAGAAAGTCTTAAAGGTTGAAGTCCTAAATGCCAGTGACCAGTCATATCTAACCATGGTGAGAAATACCAGGACAGGGATGACAATTATAGTACCAGAGTTAATACAGTAGATGTGGGGGAATGCTCAGTACTGCAGAATAATAATTCTGACTATATGTTCTCTTTCAGAAAGTAGAAATGTACAAAGCCTCTTTCTCCTAAAGTCCTACAGAATCTTTCCACTGTCATGCCTGGGAGACACCGCCAATTACCTTAGTGTCTCTCTTCACTTGCATCATCTTTTTCAGTGTTTTGGCTCTCTTCTGTGACTCGGTAACTGGAGCGAAGGGGAGGAAGAAATATAATCACCACCACTTTAAACCAGGTACTGGGAACACCTTTACCAGCCCATATCGTTATGAAAAGGTAAATAAACAAAGAACCTGTCCCCCAGCACCACCTGCAGGGAACAAAGAAGTCTGCAGCAAGATTCAATACTTCCTTCTCTGCCAAAGTATCTTTAATTTAACATTCCTTTATTGAGCATCTACTAAAAAGTAAAGAGACTGATTTTAGTTGCTGAGGAGAACACAGAGATCAATAAGAGATCATCCACGCATACCCTAAGGAACATTATTAGAATTTGGGTATTTTTGTAGTGATGAGAGTAGGTTGGAAGGAACTGATTAAATCTAAGAGAATCAAGTTTCTTTTGAACAGATTGAAAATAAAGCAAATACTGCATTGCTTTTTTAGGTTCTCCATTGATAGAAACTAAGAACAAAGGTGATTTCAGTTTTAAGTAGTGATGTAATGAAGTCTGCTTTTGAGACTTCAAGTCCGTTGAGCTTATAACATGACGAGAAAGGTTTGTGTTGCCTACCAATATATGTGGTCCAGTTAAGGTTGCTCTTTTCCTAATTTAAGGCTATCCCCAAACAGATGCCTTATGGGATAGCTGTCTGCTGGCTATCAGAGGGATTGGATGGAGGAAGATACATGACTTAGTATAAA